CACCGAGGACTGCCGTGGACGTAAGGCGGCTCAAGGCGAAACAGCGGACAAGGCTGCACCCGCAGCCGCACAGCCTTCAAAATCTAATTCGTTTGACTCTAACAAATATACCTGTTTTAATTGTAATCAGAAAGGACACGCAGCGCGCGATTGCCCAAAGACGCAGGGAAACGCGAAGTAGGCACAGTGAATGCGGCACACTGTGCTTCCCCGACTTTACCAACAGCGCCGCTCCCAATTCTCCTGGACATCACCATTGGATCTGCTTTGTGCCGGGCTCTCGTCGACACCGGGGCGTCCCACGCCTGCATTTCCCCAAGGTTGGTCCAATCTCTGAAGCTCTCCACCCATTCTTTTTCTACTTCTCTTACTACTGTTCTATCATCGAGCGCGGTGAATGTCACGAGCGCGGTATCAGTACCATTCCGGTTTCGCAGCGTAACGCACGAGGGTTTTTTTCTGGTTCTTAACGAACACTTCGAGCCCCCGGTTATTTTGGGTCGCACGCTCTTGTCGCTTCTTCCGGTTACGGTCACCGTTGACGGCGAGCGCGTTTTTACCGGTTTTCAGACAATGATTCGCCCTCAGGGCAAACCGGATCTCCCCGTCGGAGAAGGAATTTCTTTTGTGGACGGATCACCGGACGAACGATCCGCGGTGCGCGAGATTCTCTGTGAATTCCCTTCAGTGGTTTTTCAGTGGTCAGGGAAACGGGGTCTGCTGATGGATTATGTTGTTTCGATTCCAACCAGCGACTCCACACCACCCGCTGTACGCCCCTTCAGGCAATCCGCGGAACGCAATGCCCCATTCACGCAGATAGTAGATCGCTACCTGCAGGATGGGATTCTCGAACCGGCCGCGTCGCCATACAATTCCCCGGCATTTGTTATTCCCAAACCAGGTTCTAAACCGGATGACCCGTTGGACAAACGATGGAGAATTGTCGAAGATTATCGCGAGTTAAATAAACTAATTGTCTCAGATAATTATCCTACTCCGGTAGTACAGGAATTGCTGGACGCGTTGGGTCGCAACAACGCATACTTTTGCACAATGGACCTGCATTTGGCATTTCATCATCTGCCACTCGCACATGCTGACCGACCCAAGACCGCTTTTACAACGCCGCGAGGACAAATGCAATACAGGGTGCTCCCATTCGGTCTTAAAACCGGACCACCTTTGTTTCAAAGAGCCATTAACACGATTCTGCGACAGCATCTTTTCCTTAGGTGTCTAGCTTACGCAGACGATGTCATCGTGTTCGGCGAATCCTTTGAAGCATTGTGCCATAACCTTCGCGCAGTCTTGAAAACACTCTCCAGGGCAGGAGCAGCCATCGACATCCTGAAGTCGAAATTTCTGGCACAAAAGATCATCTTTCTGGGCCATGAAATTGATCAAACCGGCACCCGACCGGCAGAGAAGAACGTCGAAGCTGTCCGCAACTACCCCCGACCGGAGACCACTCGACAAATGCAGAGGTTCATCGGAATGGCCACATACTTGCGGGCGCACCTCCCGATGAATTTCGCAGAGCAAGAACGCATTCTGCGCGCCATTATCCCAAAAAAACCGGCCATACGACTGCATTGGAACAACACCGCAGATCAGGCATTCCGGTTTATCAAGGACAAGCTGGCAGAAACCACCAAACTCGAACGCATCGATCCGGATCTACCACTGGAAGTCCATTGTGACGCGTCGGCCTCCTGCTTAGGCGCAGTCCTCATTCAACGCGACCCACAGGATCAGCCACGGATCATCGCATATGCAAGTAGGGTTTTAACAGATACGGAAACAAGGTATACCAATTCGGAACGCGAGCTGCTAGCAATAGTATGGAGTGTTACTAAGAAATTTCGGCATTACTTAGAGTACCGTAAATTTTCTGTTAGTACAGATCACAAGGCTCTCTTAGGTATCTTGCAGACAGAACGACTGATACGACTACAGAGCAAACTCGCGTCCTTCGACTTTGAACTCCTGTATCGACCAGGAAAGATGTTGCAGGGACCCGATGCACTGAGCCGAGCAGCCCTCAATCAAATTGACGCCCGTGTCAGCCCTGATCCCGCCGACTTCCACCCGATCATCGATGCCTACCATCATGAACTGGGACACGCCGGCTGGAAAAAGGTCTACAACACACTCAAAGACCGTTTTCGCTGGAAGACAATGCAACAAGATACATGGAAGCGCATCAACGCCTGTCCGCTCTGTTTCCAGTATAACGTCCCGACCCAGGCCATTGGGACCGAGCTTCAATCTATTACCTCGACAAAACCTCGGGAACGCTTGACCATGGACTTCTACGGCCCCCTTCCGCTTACCAAGGAACGGTACCGCTATGCGATTGTGGCGGTGGATCATTTTTCAAAATACATGATCACCCGCCCAATCCGGAAGGCAGATACCACAACCGTGATTCCCTTCCTCGCCGAGATCTTTAGACAGTTTGGATTGTTTGACCTGGTGCATACTGATTGTGATTCGGTATTTCGAGCTAAATCTTTTAAATGTTTTCTCCGAGATAATCATGTTCAGCAGCATATAGCCCAAGCATCACACAGTGAGGGCAATGGCTGTTGTGAAAGAGCCATCCGCTCGTTAGCCCACATCCAGGCAAAGGCGACGGACGGACGTGACGACCAGTGGGCCAATACCCTCGCAGCATCCACTCAGGCATACAACAACACCCTCCACTCCTCTACGGGCGTCCCACCCAGTGAGGCCATGTTTGGGGTGCCTGTTAAGCTGACAGCGGATGAGAAGTTCCAGGCTCCACCACGCGACATTACTGAGAAACTTCAGCAAATCCCCATCGTTAACCAAAAGGTTCGTACTTCCTTTATCCAACAGGCAAGCCAGGGCAAATGGCGGCATTTCAGTCCCGGGGAGTGGGTGGCAGTGCGGCCACGGCTCGCCAGCACTGAACATCATGCAGCCAACCGCCGGTTCCGTGTCCAAAAATTCGGGCCATTTATGGTCATCGCGTACCGTGGAGAGGGAGTCTACTGGGTAGGAGCGGGAAAGAATGTGGGCCGCGTTAACGCGTGGGAACTGGTGCCCTACCACGGGCTGCCACGACCCCCGGAACCCGGATTCGACGCCCACGTGACGATCATCCCGGCCGCAACACCACGAAAACCGCAGGGGCCCCCGCCGGATCATGCGTACGCCCAACCGAGCGCGACGCGTCCGCCGCCGGAGGTTCGGAATACACGCATGGACCACCCGTATGGTCAGCCCAGCCAATGGCAACCTACCGACACGAAAGTGCGACAGGAACATTCATACGCGGCGCGCGCATAACATTACGGGGCCATACGTTTCTTTTTTTTTCTTGTGTACCGGGCCGTGCCACGGATCGGGCTCGTGATCTATGTTCTCTATCTCTCCTTCTTTCCTGTCTGACCGACCGCAGTTTTTTTTTAGGGGGGGAGAGTAAGCTAGTCCACTTACGTCCCAAGTGCGACATCTAGCGGACAAACCCTGGAATCACCTTGACCGTCTAGAGAGCCCACGCACAGAAGCTTATCTGATGGTGGATCAGGCAGAGCTTGGGAGCGGTGCCACAAGACGAAGGAAGTGTGGTCATTCAGAGTTGACGTTTTGACTAAGCAACTTCTACCTTGTAATCCTGGACTTATATCTGCTGTTATCTGACTCTGTGTCTCGTCGTGATTATTAAATACTATATCCTGAAGTGTGGTCGAAGTCATTACTCTAAGTTCAACCCTTACTCTACAGTATCACAAATTCCATTGCAGCCAGGATGATGCATGCTCCAGTGACTGGACAGTCCAGCAGTTCACCACTCACCGCTGCTTACTTCCACGCCCATCCGCTAGGGGGTTGTCCACTTTCACTCTCCCAAGGCCAACAATGCGTGAGCATTTTTGTAGGAATTTCATATTGAAATTGGTGAACGACAAAAATATCAATTTTGCTTGATGACTAGACTAATCTAAACCACACTATTCCTATGAGAAATTTCTTGTTATAATATGCGCCATGTTATTTTGTCGTAGAAGTCATTCTGAAATCTATGCCACTAAATCACTCACTGAAAGCCACTGATGGCTCTGAGTGGCGCTGGCAGGGGTGGTGGTGTGGAAGAGAAATCCCTGACTTGGGCGGCCCTGAGTAAGAGTTATGCTGAAAGCGGGTGTCACGGCGAAGAGGGCCTATGCCAAATCCTGGGAGTGAAGATCTGCGGCGGGCTTGTCTCAGGAGGCTTTTCCGCAATGAATGGGAACAAAAACAGGGAAATCGAAGGTTCGCGCTGGGTCCTGACACTTGCTAAACGCTAGCATACCGTCCAAACCAGAATTCATCTGCATCTAGAACTCCTGAAGATATTATTAGCATTTTTCCATTCGTCAACCACAATAAGGGTAACTTGTTTTCAGCACAGCTGGATCCTTTCACTGATGTACTCAAGTCGACACAGGCAAAGGTTTTCAGACGAGTGGAGAAATTGATGCACACGCCATAATCACACAGAAAACCATATTATACATGACCCAATATATATTTTTTCCTTCTCTCATCTGTATCCCAAATTTGCACCATATGCAGTTGTATACGCTTGGATAGAACTTTTGTCAATTTTCTCGTCCTTGTGTTGGAAGAAAAAAGATTCCTGGTGGGCGGGAAATCTCAATTTCAGTACCCGAATTCAGGCGGCGAATGCTAGAACTATTTTTAATTGAACGTATATCGGAAAAAATGTCCAAATCTGGGTGAATTTTGCGGACTTGGGTACACTTGCTGAGACTTTGCTTATTTCAATCTTTTGTGATTAATGTAATGCATGTAATTCATTAATCGAGGTCTGCAAACTTTGAACAGTCACTCTTTCCGCAGCACGAGTTCAATGCAAAATGAAGATTATGAATTTTACAATTTTTGGATCCCAAATTGATCTTTAAGGCAATGTGCGCACGCCAAACATAAACTGTATCTAAAACAAGATCGAATGCTCGAGCAAATATTACACAGAAATATACGAATTTTCATTCTCAGAAGTTCATTTTAAGAACACATGCAGATTTATCAACTCCAGCAATATAAACTGCCAAAAACATGACTAAATTTCAAAGATTGGTACTCCATCATCAGCCCTTGTCCTTTCGTTCGTCCTCCATTTTCTGACCAGGGAAGAGTTCATAATCCCCGTATTTCGGAAACTTCTTCATCTGATCATCCTGTCGTACAAGAAATCAATCAAGTCATCAAGTCAAAAAATGCTCGTAAAACGCAATTTGAAAACTGAGGAAATCAGCAGAAATCTTTATTACACTGTACCTCGCTCTGAGGACTTGCGATGTCAGGCAACCTTTCCGAAGAACCCAATTGTCGCGAAGCAGCATCTCTTTCCGCAAGAACACGTGCATTAGCTTTTGTCTGCATCATGATCTTATAATTCTTGTCAAGCTCCTCTTCTGACGGAGGAATCTTTCGGCGAAATCTCAACCACGCTAGAAAATTACATTGAACATACGAATTTCACTGCTGCACATTGAACTATGTAATATGACGAAAGCACCTTCCCATTCCGCAGGCATTTCTGCTTCGAAGTTGAAATCAGTCCGAGGCTTGAACCATCGTCTAGGAAGGCGTCGAGCGCTTGAGGGATCTGATGGTTGACGACACAAATATCAACAATAATTTGTTGAAATATGTTGCCGCATATTCTATTTATTGGTTTTTTTAACTATATCAATCCAGTACCTAGTTTTCTACCAGGAACTCATAATTTTGCCTCATACTTTACCCAGTGAAGCTCAAGGTGCTGTTGGTCAAGGGTTTGGCATATAAATGAGTACATAGATTATTTTTCAAATACTGCGTATGACATTAACCAGAAACTTCTTACGGACAAAAATACCCGTCAACACTCTGTACAGGAAAATTGAAGGGACTAGACGGAAAATTTGCTGCGGTGGACATCCATAACATGAGAGATAACCCCATGGGTCCGAAAAATTTGTGATACAGTACATAGAAAATCATTGTAGAGGGAGTCAACCTGTATGGTATTTACTTGAGTACCAAACACACATTCACAAGACAGACATTCATCTTTCAGTCTGCACATATATCTAGCCCTTCCTGTGGCACCCCCCCCCCCCTGTATTCCTGTCAATTTTTAGAAAAAAGGTGTGCATGGTACTTGAGTAAATACAGTGAGTACTCCACTCATGTTTCAATTCCTTTGAAGAAAGCAACAATTTTTCACCCGCTGGAATCTCGAAGTATTCATTTCCGAATCGATCCTTGCCCACGGAATCTCCGGAATACACTTGCCGGGGTCGGATGGACTTGGTGAAATTATTCCAGAAGATTTTGAAAATATTCCTTGGCGGTCTTTGGGCCATTCTAACATACGAATCCTGCACGAAAGAAGGGCACATGAAATCGCAAGACGGCCGGAGGAAAATCCGAACATCAGAGAAGTTCTCGACAGTCGATGACGGCGCTCTTCGGCGGCACTTTTATTCTCAACCACGTTTCATAGGTTAGCAAAATTCATCCGCACGAAGGTAGGAAAGCCAAGATAAAACATTACTTCGTTTGAATGTCTCCTTCTTAAAATGCAGCCACACATATAAAGCCAACAGAGAAATCGAGTTCGTTAGGAATCAACACGCGGGAAATCTACACGAACTGAATGTTATGAAAGCAAGCGAATCGCACCGGTACAAAGACGCCTGGGAGCGCTCGGATTGCTCGCAGATAACCGGACTTGGAACTTTTCGTCTACGACAATTTCCCATCAGCATCTCGCACAGGGGCATGGAATGAACTTATCGTTAAGCCGAAGATCAATCTTTTCAAAATAAACTTTACACGCAATCGTTCATCCAAATGGTTGCCAAGAGAAACAAAAAGCAAAGCTCTTTTCAACAGGCGAAAACCCAATCAAAAACGCCATATTGATGATTCCTGGAGAGGCAGAAGCCACGAGACATTTCCTGTGTCCAATGAGCACGTTACACGACGTTCGTTCGAACTGAGGCACGCGAAGTGATTCGAAAATCCAAATCTTTTTCTCCACTTTGATCTCAAATCAAGCAAAACAACATTCACAGAAACCACGGTTAAAATGGAAGACAAAGAAAAAAAAAATTCGAGCACGCCATTACCAAAGCCTCATTCATAATACATTCGCGATTGAATACCGACGGAAGATAGAAGGAAGCTTTCGTGCCTCGGAATCTCAGAATTATTCGTCCGCTTCAAGCATTGGTCTTCTCCTGCTGGATATCTGCAAAACCAAAAGTTTATTAGATCACTAGAAAACATATTCAGGCACTGGCACACTAAACATTGTCGTATACAAAATTTTGAATGCAATATTGGAAATGCATCCAGATGCACGCTAGCTTGCCATGAGCAACATCTACCCAGTTCAATTAGCATTTCCCCACAAAATCTTAATAACTTTTCACATCATAGGAAAATTTCCGCATGAGCAACGCAGTAAAATTTACGATGAAGTTTTGTAAGACACCTATTACGCCACAATTCTCCCAAGACGAGTTCTCTGGAATGGACAAGTGGACTTCAGAAAAATTCCACACCTTCCTGTGTCGGCAGAGGATTTTTCTCCTCAGTTTCCGTGTGCTTCAGCTTGGTGGCATCGAAAGTTTCAATGCTTGCCTTAAGTTCTTCCTGCTTCTTTTCCTGCTCGATAACTGCAAGAAAACCATACACAGAGAACATCAACAAAGGCAACATTAAAAATGTTAATGAGTCATCGTGCAAATCCATTTCACACGTTCTCATGCTGAAAAAAAAGGCATGCAGCTAACCTTCTTTGTCAGGCAAGGTATTCTTTTCGGCCGTTTGCGTATGTTTTAGATTTCCACGCTCGAAATCTTCAACATCCTTAATGATAGCCTGCTGAGTCTTTTCGGCTTCAACATCTAGCAGGCAGTCACATGCAAACAGCAAAACAAAGCGTCAGCATGCGAGTATGAATTCCGAAAAGAAAAACATTCAAAACGCATTCCGGCTCATGCAATGATAAAAATAGGAGTGTATTCAGGAAAAAAGAACGAATAAAAAGACTCCTCAACTGCTGCTGAGTTGGAAAGTGGACGCGTCTCAATATAAACTTTAAAACCACTTGCGGAAAATATTGTGAATAATTCAATTTAAAAAGTACTTCGGAGATAGAGCGAATGTGAACCAGTGCATTCTCGTGAAATACAAAAATGTAGGAAAACCTGAATTTTTGTAAGCCAGGAAAGGCACTGCTAAAACTTAAGTAGATCGAATTGTGCAGTATAAACAAGACGGGAAATGCACAGGGGCTCATCTTCAATTGGTACAACCATCAATAAGGCCGAAACGTCCCAAATTACAAAACTTCATCACAAGATAAAACACAACAAGATTCCTAAGAAAATAAAAAAGAAGTGAATCCAAAAAGATAGTAATTCAGCTTCAAAATGCCAAGAAGCAGCTGGATCTTCACACAAGAGCAATCAAGCGGAACAAAGAAATCAATTACCTTCTGCACTGGGTAAGACATTCTTTTCGATCGGATCTGTGTGGTGGAGTTGATCCGTCTTGAATCCCTGCAGTTCAGATTTCAAGTCAGTGCTGACCTTGGGCAAATCCTTGAGTGCAGGTGCGTCAGAGGCCATTTTTGCGTATAATCGAGTTTTTTTTCTCGCGAAAATAAATTCAAATTGCAATGGCACTTTTTAAATAGAACCACAAAGAGTTTCGAAGTCTGGTTTTGAAAACCCTGCAACAAATGAAGCTTGAAATCAAGACAAGAGCTAAACCCTTCCGTGTGACACGAGAAGCAAACCATACCACCAGAAGCGATGCTGAAACCCAGATTTGAGCGACTATATCCTACCTAGAACGTAATTTTGGACCTCTACTTAAGGAAAAATGAATTTCCATATACATAACTTGACGATATTCATTATATCCTAACAATTGGATAGAATGAAAACGTGATGTAGATTTTTTGCACACTTAACGCCAATCGATGCACACACGGAGTTCGTCCTTCTTTGCAACAGCGGTCAATACATTTGTCAAGCGTATCTTTGATTCCGAACAACAAAAACATTCCGCCCTTCAACACAAAATTGCTTCTTCCAAATTTTAATTCTAAAAACTCGGATACCTTATCTTCCTAGACCAAATGCGGCCAACAGTAAAAGGAATACATCATTAGCAAGCTTTAAACGTTCGAAGCATAGTTGGAATGAAGCAGGTCTCATCACTACCGTAAATGAATCGCTAGAGCCTGGATCACAATACTGTAACCCTAAAAATTAGGCAGAGGTTCAGGGATCACTACAAACCCCAAGAACACCCACCCGCAACTTCTCATGCCGGAAATGAACATATGAAAGGGTCACTGGGGATCACTCGTCTCGAGGCTTGGATATCACGATAGTACACGTGATAAAGCATCATCCAGTCAATTTGAAAGCATGGGGTGAAGCAGATTGGTTACTTTTTGACAGTAAGCCAACTCTTGGATATGAACATTCCCTATCTTCTTCCAAGTACCCAAGTCCGATAAAGATTAGACAGAAGAAGAAGTCAACCACTACACGGCAACTCAGCCGAACAAAATCGGATGAGAGCACGAAGAGAGACGCGTTCAAGCGATATCACGGCAACACAGAAAAAGTCACATTGCGTTGTGAACTGCGTCACGGCAAATCGTAAAACGTTCCATTTTCCTGACCGATAAGTTCGACGAGGACTATATATTGGCTTAGCGGTTCTGAACAACCACGGAGCTTATCACGGATTGGAACCATCTGAGAACTCCTTACTCCGATCACGAAGATTAGCTTTTTTGAATACATATTCATACCACGGTCTGCCCCACTCATGCAAGCGAGTATTTTCAAAAGCTGTTAGGAGTAAGGCCACGACGATGACCAAGCTGTTGTCTTCAGTTCATAGAGTCAAATGGATTGAAACAACCTCGGGAGAAGACTTCGCAATTTCAACTCCTATAAAAGTTGCCTCATGGTTGATCTTTGTTTGCTGCTCTTCACTCAAAAATTGATGTCTCCATCTCACAGAATTTTTAATCTGTGAGAAAATCTGAAAGCTAAGGCTGGGGTGCACCAAAAAACCTCAAAGTTGTGTGCCTCTTTTTTTTGAGTGAAGAGCTAGAAAGTTGCCACAGCGACTGTCACAAAAATTAAAAAAAATATTTCAAACAATACTGGGGTATGCTGACAGGGTTCTCATCTGAATGTGCCAGAACTGTAAGCAAATTCTGATTTTTGCTTCAATGGAACGTCCTTGTTAACCAGAGCATGCCTGGAACTCTGAACATAAAAAAAAAAAGTCGGCAGCCTTCTTCACCGGGATAAGGAATGAAAGGCACTCGTTTCAACGGCAGGGACGAAGTTCCCCTTGAGGGAAGGGCATGGATCAGAAGGATTTTATGAAATTTGCCCCACAAAGCTTTTAATTTTTGGCTGCCAGAATTGATATTCTTGACCTCCCAAATTTGGCTTCTTTTAGCCACAGAAATTGCTTTTTGACTTCCAAAGTTGGGGTGTTTCCACAAAAATAGACAGCCCTTTCTTTTCTTCCCCTGCAAGAGGAATAAACTAAAATCGTTGTATGGAGAGTGAAGAGGATAGGTGAGTCGTTGTAGGGAGAGTCATTTAACATGGTGTTCTATGGCATTACGCCAGAAAAGAAGTGTTGTATGCAGAAATTCGTTTTTGGCAATTTCGTTGTAGAGTTCACCTGTGTACCAACCAAGCGCCGGGCTTCCATCCTGTCGCCTCGTTATCAACAATCGCACCACACATGGAACACCAGTTGAACTTGAATAAAAGAATAAATAACCCAACTTCGGCAAACGGATTTCACATGGCAGCCGGAGCAGAACGCTTCGTGCCATGGAAAACGCTCACGTAATTTTCGTTTCCCCTCCCAAGTGCGCAATGGGATCGACCGAACGGAATGGAATGGAGGGAAGTGCTTGCGCGCGTGTATGTGGAAGTCGCACAGGGACAGACTTGAAAAAGCAGGCAGATGGTGCGACCGGAAGGGCCCCAGGGGGAGGATTACTGCGTCCTGCCTGCAACGGAAAAAGCGCCAGTCCGGCAGAATAAAACCCATACGAGCACCCCGATGAGAACGAGAGCCCCACTGCAGTGGTTTCAGGTCCCTATAAAGTATAATACAGTATATACCATCGAAAGCGTCGCGACGTATCGACTTCAAAGCCCTGCACTCCAATGTACACAAAAATGGAGGCTCAAATGATCGTCAAATGCTTCCGATCAATATTCTCCAGCCTTTCAGTTATCAATAATTTCACTTATACTACTGTCTTTGATGCAGCCCGTGTTCTGATCATAAGACAGCTATAAAAATATGAGCACAATACAACCTTTGAACATCACATTGAAACCAAAATTGAACCATGCGAACACACTAAACAAGGTTTATGTTTCATTTCGTGTCCATGATTCTTCCTGATTTCAACTGAGTAACGACTAATTAATACACGTCTGAGGCGAATAAAAAAGGTTAAACTCGTTTTAGTGTTCCTCCTAATATTTCTTCCTTCTTAATAGGAAATTTGATTGCATGCGCCTGAGAAACTAGTTGTACTTGGTGTTACGAGGCGTACAACAAGGATCGTCTTGGTAAAGTCAACTGATCGCCATGAAAACGCCTCTTCAACCATTCGAGGACTTGCTTGTACAGTATTACACAGTTTGCTGCAATTCTTCGCTTCCTTCTGCAACTTCGCAACTTGAAAATGTCAACATACGGGAACGGCAAAACATTTTCATCCTATTGTTGGTTACGAATGAAGCAAGTGTTCAGGTACAGCGCGTTCACAAGAAGCCACGCTAGAGCACCCACCCTCAGAATTTCGACTTCCTCCGAGAAACCTGTTGACTCACACAACATCTGTTCTCGTGCGGCTTCAAAACGCAATTCAGGTCACGCTTTCACGACCGATCAACCGGTTTCACTCAAGTTTTAATTAATTTTCAGCCACCTCCGACGAAGGCAGCATTTGCTGCATAAAATAATCAGGAGAATCAACGCGTACTCCCATGGAATCGAACCCTCGGAACACTACTGAACCCCTTTCGTTCCCCTCCTAAACCCTCCCCCACACACGCACCATCGAAGAGAAATCTAATCTTCTCCCCTACGCCTGATGCACAAAACGCTTTTGATGGACAAGCGTGGAACCAGACGAACGAGGGGGGAAAATGAAAAAAAGGAAGCCAGGATCCGAAACGAGACACCCCGACATTTTAACGGGCCCGTCTGGTTCTTCCTCGTCGTCGCATCTGCCCAAAATTAACACACCCACAATTCAGAGAAGCCGGATACTGTATTAAAAAGAGCACTTCCCGTCATCTTCCGCGCTAACGATGCCAACGACCGCTTCCGAGTCGCGACACATTCGGAATCACCAATGAGGAGAAAAGCGGATTTGGGCCGCATGCAATCGCATCATATGAAACAAGGGATGCCAGATATGAAGCGAATTGCCGAGATATGGTACAGTACTTCGCGTGTGAAAAAACAGGCTGTGACAGGAGAGAAAAAAACACCCAGACGAAAGGGATCGAGTGGCTAAGTATTGCGAGGAAGAACCTTAACAAAAGCCTCCGTTTGGTTTTACAAGATCAATTTCTCGCCCTTTTCAACCTTTTGTTCCTTTGCTGCAGTTTTGCTTGTTTTCTTGATGTATTTAAAACGAAGTCCACAACCCGAAATGAGTTTTCTTTTCGAGCAAACGCGTTCGTTTCAATCGTTGAATTAGAACAATGAAATGCCAGATAAAACAAGAGGATAATATCGGGTAAGAAAAAATCATGGCCTTGGGGGCGCTTTCCTTTTCATGGCTTTTTGCCTGGGTGCTTTTTTCATGCCAATGCCTGCATATTGCACATTACCATACATTTAATTTCAGTCAATCATGCTGGAAAAAAGAGCTTGCTGGTGAAATTAAGATTGCACCATTATTTTCATCATTGGTTCAGCGAGGACTGAAAACAAATTTTCCGTCTTTCGCACATTACTGATGCATTACTGATGTCGACCTCGGACGTGTTACAAGAAGTCTTTCAACCAGAAACCAAATTCCAACGAGAAATGCAGTTGATATATGCTTTCTTACCTCTTCAAACAATATTGTTTTATTTTTTCAATCACATCGACTCAAGCATTAACTCATTATATGTAATTGAAATTCCTCCACCATGCTGATGAAACATCGATCATTTTAATGAGCACGCAGTTCTGGACCACCCACAAGCTCAACAATCGAAAAGCGAATCAACTTCATCCTGATAAATGGAGACCCCGCATAAGAGCAGAAGACCCACACAGCTAAAAATTTCGCATACCGACAATTTCTAGGGGGGGGGGGCATGACTCACGTTACGAAATAATTTCGCAGAACGAAATTTATGGCCCGAAACAGCGCATCAAAATTATCAATTGAAACTTGCATTTTTTTCAAAAGTCACGCAAAAGAGAAACGTGAAGCACTGTTTTACATCTTCTTCCCTTTTCAATTTGAGGAAATTCAAAAAAAGATCAAAAGTCGTCACGATTATTCCAATTCCTGCTCAATAATATCCACCCAACAACTGTCTACGGAAAAATACACAAATGTTGACGTTCATTGTTGTCTCGTGAGTTGATCGAAAGCAATTAAATCAATTAAAATGTAATCTCAAGGAAAAACGCATTTAGTAGAACACAAATTCGGCTTAATGAAATGCATACAGGAACGGATTACTTCGGTTATGCGGGGACCCACCATATTAACACTTCGAAAGTGGCAAAATAGGAAAAAAGCAGCCTTTTATATATCCGCTTGACACGACATTATGAAAGGGAAGAGGCACAAACATTTGGCAAACATTACGAAAGCAGACGCGACAATGACTCAAAAAACGTTTTTCGCGATGACGCGTTCGCCTAAGAGCTGAAAATAATATATCTACAGGAGAAAAAAAAAATTTTGATCACATCCTCCCATCGCAAATACGCACTTTGAAATCATTCCTTCTCCCTCTCTCGCCAAAAAATCGTTTGTCCTCA